TATCTAATAATATTGATCTTCATAAGCACGCGCAATATAGCAAGAACCAGAAATTTAGAGCGAGAAATATTTTATTACGGATGCCGCCACTGATGCGTCTGTACACCTGCTAATCTAGATGTTTCTTATTCCGTAGGTTCCATCGTTGACTAATTTCACATGAAAGCTTTGTAATTACAATTGTGATAATAAACTCATAAAATTATAAAAATCCAGATTAGAATCTCAACTTTGTTTACCCGAATCCGTTTCGAACGTTTCGAATCCGCTTGATGGATGCAAGGTAGATTCTCTAAATCTTTAACCAGAATATTCGTCTTCTTTTTATGACTCATTCATCTTCTTTGATCTTTGCTTTCTTTATTGGTATTAACCTCTAGGTTTCGTTGGTTTGACCAACTTTGTTAATTAATTGTTTTAACACTTAGTGTCAACAAAAATGACAGTTTTATAGGTATTTTCCCAATTATTTAAACATTAAATTACATTTAATTAAATTTCCGCATCCAAAAGTTTTATTAAAATTACTTCTGAGTACAGATTAAAGATACAGGCTGATGTACATTTGATAATATATTTTCATTTACTCTCTTTTCTTAGGATTGTCTCTAACAGTATATAATTGAAGCTGTAGTACAGATTTTTGATCACAGATAAGTTTTTACTGCAAATTCTATCTTACAAGACTTTCATCAATTGTTGTGCTGAACTTTAAATTCTTTTTGGTTAGATCCGTTTTCTCCTAGACCCTTCGTAAAATAAAATTGTATTATCTATTTATATTTCTCGATATAGAGACTCCTTACCTTTGTTCTCGTTTTTCAACTATCATTTAAAGTATAACTTGAACATGATATGAAACACAGAAACAACTGGAATCAAATGAAATATTGGATCATATTAGATATGTCAATATGATAATGATCGGACGAAGAATAAAGACATAAAAATGGCAATAAACAAAATCGTAGATGGCTACAAGAAGCACATATATCATATACTATTTTTTTAGTAATTTCCAGAACATCACAAACCGTTAAAGTTTATTGAGAGTCCAAAAACCTTTAACATATTCTGGTCTTTGTTTTACACCCCTTTCTATCATGTAAATAAGGAAAGAAAATACGCCAATATTTTCCGCTAATCATAATTTCTACAAACATTTTATTATATCATCAAAATAACCAGCGTTAACATTCGTCTGACGTATATATAAGCATTAAAATATTTTCTTATATAACATTTTTTAAATTCCACATCGAAAATAATATCTTAAAGCATTTTTTGCAATTAGCAGATAGCACATACGTTTATTTTGTTTATAGAGGTATAAATTCTTGAGGAAAATAGTATATTTTCTTTTTCCGCAGATCATCAGGTTAATTTTCAATATTAAAATAAAATTTGATCATTTTTTTTGTTAGGTAAATTTTTAACGAAAAAAAGTAGTTAAAACTAGTATTTTTAGTCGCATTTAATATTGGTGATTGAGGCTTCTTTGATATCTTATAATTTTATCCATTTAACGACGCTTGAAACAAGTTTTGTGATATTTTTAAGTTATTTCTCTAAATTAAGTGTCTACATTCTATAAGTCTTATTTTTCACTGTCTATCTTACGATGTCGCTAAGTACCCTGTCCAGTTTTAACTGTCAACGCCAAATGACATTTTGAACTTATGATCCTAGCCCTATTATTTGTACTTTTATTTGATAAATTTACAGTGAGCATTGCACGTTCTATGTCTGAAATATGGCACGACGTCCATATTTCATGGCCACAATGTGCCAAAATATTTTCTTCGGTCTTCTATTTCTCTTATCCAGTTAATGTATCTGCTTTCTTCGATCGCTTTCAACTATTCTAATTATCTGTTCCTCTTTCTTCCCCTCCTTATTTAAAAGTCTTCATATGTAAAACTTTCTTAGTCATCAGCTTTCCTGTCATTCGTTAAATCTGTCCTAACCATTCCCAAGGTCTTAACGAAAGTTATTATTTTTGTTCCTTTTTATTGATAGTAGGCTTTGTGGTTTATTCTTCTTATCCATCTTTTCTCCCTTCCAAACTAATCTTCACTTAGGCATTATTTAGCATCCACATTTTGCATGTATAGGGTTGGTAAGCAGATTCTTACTTTTGAAAACTGAATAGAAATTTATATTTCAAAAGTTTCCTTACGACTTCAAAATACTTCTTTTGTTAGCCATTTGTGATTAATACTTATTTTTTCCTTGTATACCGCTTGCAAGAGGTAAATTCACAAATTTACGTTCTCTTCTTTTTATCTTCAGATTTTGTCCCGGTTATTGTTAAATCCACCCCATAGTCATCTATTTTGAATTTTTAATATTTATTTCAAGCACTATTTCTTTACTTCACTTTCTAGTTTCTAAAAATCCCCTTTAATTGGAAAGTATTAGTGTTTCTTGTTGAAAATTATGTATTTCCATTTTACCCAATTGTTTATTATATTTCCTAAAACTAAATCTGTCGATTTTCAAAAATTACTCTGTGGATAACCGGTATCACTGATTTAGTCGCTTTCTGACTAAAAAAAAATCTAGAATCTAAGTTCTACTCTTTTAATTCTATTAGTGTTACCAACATATTTTCTTCTTGGAGATGTAAGGTTCTCTAGATTCAGACTACCAGAGAATTAGTCTTATTAAAAAGCTATATTTTTTATGAATATACTAACTAACCGTTTATGACTGCGGAAAAATATAATATAATTTATATAAGGAATGCATACAGAGTGTCTCAAATCAAATGTTTTTGTTTTAAATTGGATAAATCACCAGTAAACTACAGCAAACGATATATTAAGAGGCTGAACATAGCAGACATAGTAAACCAGCTTTTGGTATTAATGAAAAGTATACTTACATGTTTAAAATTGAATTAAGCGATATAAAAAAGAATTTTGTATGTATAAAAACATGAAACAGCCTTTAAAGAGATGTAGGTCATATATATATATATATATATATATATATATATATATATATATATATATATATATATATATATATATATATATATCGGAAAAAGGAGTACGACCGTCAATCCAATATATATATAAGGATCACTCAGACGAGTGGTGGGTTCTTATATCGGTCTCTAGGTGGAGAAATAAAAGACAAAGTTGATAGGCTACTTTATCTATTTTGAAGACGTTTCGCTTTCGAGTTTTGAAAGCATCATCAGTTCATCTAAAAAAATTATTACAATATGAGAACCACACAATCATGGAAACGATGTTAATTGTTACCTTAAAAAGATATGTAGCAGTCAATGTTATTAACAAATATGTGAATGAAACTAAGTAAATGGACATAGTACGCTGATCTTGTATAAACAGTTAAGCAACTAACAACATATATGAACTTGTACAAAAATTAGCACAGCAATTGACCATGTGGTCCAAAATAAATTCAATGTTATTTATATTAATAAGTGAGAAAGAACCAAGAAAATCATAAATAACCTCCAACTATTTAATGGATATTAAACTTTGATTTTAACTTTAGGTAACATTATAAGTAATATTAATAAAATTCTACAAAATAGTGAATATGAAGTTACCGATCAAAGCCTTATGGATGTCGCCGTGAAAATGGCGTTAGATGAAACAGGAACGAACTAACCGCAAAAAGACAGCCAACCTTGAGGTCAAAATTACTTTTGACAGATCAACAAGGTGTGAATACCAACCCAGAATTTTGGGCGGTTAATTTAATTTTTATATTTTATAACTGAGTCTGGATGACTTCCAGGTTGCAAAGGACAACAACAGTGAAAAAAGTTGGTAGTGTACACACAACTCCCCTCACTAACCGGCCCAAATTTACAAATCGGAGATTTGCATTCAAACTCATAATAATGTAATGACGTTAATCATGTGGCAAGTTAAATAGTCAGGTGATTAACGATATTATAATTTCCATACAGGTTCAATATACTTGGAGCTGTACACAGCTGTACACAGCTCCAAGTATATTGAACCTTGGGCTGTATGGAAATTATAATATCGTTAATCACCTGACTATTTAACTTGCCACATGATTAACGTCATTACATTATTATGAGTTTGAATGCAAATCTCCGATTTGTAAATTTGGGCCGGTTAGTGAGGGGAGTTGTGTGTACACTACCAACTTTTTTCACTGTTGTTGTCCTTTGCAACCTGGAAGTCATCCAGACTCAGTTATAAAATATAAAAATTAAATTAACCGCCCAAAATTCTGGGTTGGTATTCACACCTTGTTGATCTGTCAAAAGTAATTTTGACCTCAAGGTTGGCTGTCTTTTTGCGGTTAGTTCGTTCCTGTTTCATCTAACGCCATTTTCACGGCGACATCCATAAGGCTTTGATCGGTAACTTCATATTCACTATTTTGTAGAATTTTATTAATATTACTTATAATGTTACCTAAAGTTAAAATCAAAGTTTAATATCCATTAAATAGTTGGAGGTTATTTATGATTTTCTTGGTTCTTTCTCACTTATTAATATAAATAACATTGAATTTATTTTGGACCACATGGTCAATTGCTGTGCTAATTTTTGTACAAGTTCATATATGTTGTTAGTTGCTTAACTGTTTATACAAGATCAGCGTACTATGTCCATTTACTTAGTTTCATTCACATATTTGTTAATAACATTGACTGCTACATATCTTTTTAAGGTAACAATTAACATCGTTTCCATGATTGTGTGGTTCTCATATTGTAATAATTTTTTTAGATGAACTGATGATGCTTTCAAAACTCGAAAGCGAAACGTCTTCAAAATAGATAAAGTAGCCTATCAACTTTGTCTTTTATTTCTCCACCTAGAGACCGATATAAGAACCCACCACTCGTCTGAGTGATCCTTATATATATATATATATATATATATATATATATATATATATATATATATATATATATATATATATATATATATATATATATATATATATATATATATATATATATATATATATATATATATATATATGTAAGACACAAAGAAGACAAAGAAGACAATAGATATCTAATATTTGAGGTTATAAATGAAGTCAAATATCTATTATTAATATAAGTGACCAGAGCTTCATTATATGACCAAACATTTCAGGCTGCCCTACAGTTATCTTGAGCTCCGTGAAACATATTATAACACTGGTTTGTATCCTTTAAGAGACTAAATATTTCAGAACAAACATGAAACAGCTCCTGGCTACGCTAAACTCACCTGATATATTTCAGTCTATTCTGAAATCTTTCAGAGATCGCTAAACCATTTTAAGGCAGTCCTTAAACATTTTAATCTGCACTAAGTATACAAAGAAGACTACTTACAAATTCCACATCATTTGCGGCTAGAAATGAATTATTTCAGGTAACCGTATAGCTATCTATAGGTCTTCTGTCTGCCTTTAAGTCATTTAAGAGGCCGCTAAATCATTACAGGGCAGGCACGAAGTATTTAAATTTGCACCTACGATAAAGAGACGACTAGACATTCTACAGCAATGTTCCCGGTCAACAATAAAGTATTTCAGGCTGCCCTCAAATCCCTAAGAGGCCTCAGAAACATAGTTTATAGTTATCTTGAGCTGTGTGAAACTTACCGCACTGCTCTGTAACCTTCCAAGATTCCAAGAAATATGTGAGGAGTTCCTTTGATAGTCTTAAATTATTTTGGGTTTCTGAAATATTTCATTCTCTATCAAATATGAGGACAATCTAGAAATTCTGTACTAAGGTATTTCATACTGCCCTTAAGTCTTTCGACGGGTTCTTGAAACACTGCCATCAGTTATTTAGAGGTCCATGCAACATATCATACTGCCTTGAAGCATTTTAGAACCATCACACACTTTCCAGAATATATATATCAAACTTTACTGGCTTCCTAAAGCTATCTAAAGTTTACTGGCTTATTTCAATATGTTTTATGACTCATCTGCACTGAGTATAAAGAGAAGACGGCTTAAAAATGTTACATAATTCTTGGTTAGAATTAGTATTTCCTGCTGCACTGAAGTTTAAAGGGGATTCAGAAATATTTCAGGATGCTTATAGGGATATCTGGTGGTCCGAGTAGTGTACAGAGTCCTCCTAAAGCCTTTACAGAGCCAACAAGTGTTCCAGGATAGAAATCAAAAGTTTGCCATCTATCTAGATTCTCCTGTTATATTTCAGTCTACCTTGAAGTCCCAGAGGCGCTAAAAGGTTTCATGTTGCTCTTAGGATTTTAGGATTCCTGTAGTTCTTAAGAAACCCTGGAAAATTTCAGGTCGCCTATTGATATCTAGAAGTCTGTGAAATATACCACGCTACCTAAAGCGTTTCACAGATTCCAAAAATATTTTGTATAGACATGAAACGCTCTTAATTCAAACCTACTAAATCGAGGGATGTGGCCTCATGCTGTCTTGCATTTATCAATAAATACAATTATATCAGAAAAGTATCACAAGATGTGGGTATGTGTGTGAATGTGTATGTGTATGTGAATACTTTTTCTTACAAAAACATTGATTTGTGAGTTAAACACTCGATAATAGTTAATATAAGTGTGTTTATAAGCTAGTAGGAACAAATTTTTTAATAAATAGAATACTTGAGTAGTTTTCTTTTGATGGACTTATTACCTGAGTCATTTTGGAACGTAATTTATTTGGTTTGAATCCAGCATAACTTTAAACTATTAATCTTGTCTGTTTCTTCAGAAATTTACAACTATGTGATATGTGCTGTCTAAACTATTCATTTATTGTTTATTTTTTTCAAGAATAGTCTCAATTCCGTCATCGAGTGAAAAAATCTATACAAATTCCCTACTGATACACACTGCAGTCGTAAATAAAGTATTTTTTACATCTTTAGCAACATATTCTCATACAATTCATCAAAATATGATTGGTAACGTTTTTGTAATAACTAAAATAATTTTAAGGTTTAACACGTTCACTGCCAGTAAATATTCGAGATTTACCATAAATGCACATTAAAAGAATGAAAAAAGAACGGTTTCTATTCATCCCTAATGGTATCACTGGCTCAAGTTACACAAAGTATTGATTATTATAAGAATAAATCCAAAAATAATCAATTTACTGCGATTTTCTAAAAAAAACACTCTTATTATAAAAATTCTATTTAAAATCTACTTCAATTTTTAATTTCTTTATTATTGCATTCACCAGTCTCAAAGTACATCTAAAGAAATAGACAGGAATCTTACGCTGAACTTTAGATCTACATATAATCCCCCAAAAGACAAACTACTTTAGTACCAGCTCTCCTTAATATACAACTGATCCATTTCTACTAGTTTATCGAAGATTTAACAATATTATACTTGTAGAAAAGTATTCCGGAAGCTGTAAAGCGTTTTAAGGTTTTTCATAACTATTTGTGCAATAATATACTAGTGAAAACTCAGTACAAAACATGAGTACATCATTTCAAATAAAGCTTTCTTTATTTTGACTAGAAAACATTAATAGCTACGTTTTTTTTTTATTTTGATCACTGCAAAAATCCTTTCTTTTCTCCGACTTGATATTTTTTCGCCCTGGTTAAGTTTATTCGTTCGCAAGTTTTACAATTTTTACAAGTAACGCTGTACTAGTTTAGTACAAAGTAAGGAAACGTTTCCAGTCAAGAAAATGTTTATTTTTTTCAATAAATCACTTTGATTTTACTCTCATTTCAGTTTATATTCTTATGTTGATTTTTGTAAATATTCACTGATAACATTCAGATTGTTATCAGTACTGGGAACATTTTTCAAACTTTGTACAAAAAATATACACTTAGGTAATTACATTACTTTAAAAACTAAGTCGATAACACTTAAAAACTAAGTTACTTACATTTTTAGCGCTATAGTAGCATTAGTCAATGTAAAATGAGATGATGTTAACATTTTGTTATCGAAAGAGAACTAAAGTTCTACAACTGGAATTCAATTAAATTATATGTAGAACATAGAAACCACCTTTATTATAACTTTTTTCAATATGTAGTACGTTGAAAAATGAAAAATTTTCTCTTGAAAAAACATCATAATTTAAATATTAGTTATTTATTTGTTAAAGAAGTGTATGCAACTAATAATTATTATCTAACGTTTCTAACTATGTTGCTTTTGCACTATTTCTTGGCCGTGAATGCATTATAGGTGGTTTCTTTACATGATGAAATAGAAATAAAATGAAAATATAGAAATGCTCCAAATGTCCAGAATTTCAGTTGTAGTTATAGAATAAATATTCTACAATTGATTTAAAAAAAGCTGAGTCTCTTCAAAACCTTAAAGTCAATACCCACAAATATTTTACCCTGGGGGAATATTTCAATATAATATGTGAATAAAAATAAGCGTATTTATCTTCAGTACATATATTTAGATGTGTTTACTTAATAGGATATTTGTAAATAGTAAAAAATGGACATGTTTCTTATTAAAAATGCGTATAGAACACTGAAAATATTTCCACGATTTTTGCTCTACCAACATCCACTACAAGCATAGCCAACAAATTGTCTAGTTATCTATTTTATTCTATACTATACTATAAGGCTTTGTAGAATCATATGCACAATTTTTATAGTACTTTACTGTGAAAACGTTTCATTTTCACACATAAGTTTTTCTAAGCTCTTAACATTCATATACATCGACCATTACTAAGATTTTTCTATCCATTTTAGAGAATAAAAGTTTTCCCTATTAAAATTACATAAATCTGTAAGCTTTTTATTTAATATAAAATATGTGATTAGTAAGATTAAAATATTCCCTTTGTAGATATGCATTTTTACATCCAATCTCAGCTTTGCAAAAACACTCTGTGCTTGCAGGGCCGAAATAATTTAATTACCCACCGAATAATAACAGTCATTACTATACTACATTTCCAGAAGTTTATGTATCGTCAGAAATTATGTAATTTCCTTTTTAATTTTAAATTTCGACCTAATTTATTATTTTATTGGTGATGTTGAGAATAATTTTAATAGATCCGTAATACCAACTATATTTCATGATGAAATCTCTATTTTTATTTTTCCTTAAAACTCAATTCTAATTATTCAAATGATAAGTCAATTGAATGAGCCAATTTCAACAAGGTTAGAGAAATAAATGTTAGACTTACTCATAATCAATTAATTGAACATTGGACGAGCTGTTTCGAACACTAAATTTTGCTGTTCATTGTCAGGTCTCCGGAAAGGTTATTTAAAATGCTAAAAATTACAAAAAGTAACCAAAGTGCCAATATTACGTACGCGTGGTTTGAAAGAGTATATAAATAGTACTTACATGCCCAAAATTGTGGAATATTTCTTGAGGACGCAGTTAGGAAATAGACTATTGTTGTTTAAGATATAGGAAAGAATTATTAATGTTTGGAGATTTTGTTAAATAAAAGTGATGTAATATGGCTTACTGAATAGAACTGCTTCGAATATGTATATTATCCAAGGTGGTTTTATATGAAAATATTGAGTGAAGCTACTTATTTTAGTATATGGTGGTTAATAACTAGAATTGTGAGGTCATCGGATAAAATAGAAACAGACACAAACGGACAAGAACATAGAAATAGGTCACATACATCAAGGCACTACACAAATTAAAATAGTTTAGATAGAAAATTGTACAACATTGAGAAATATTTGTGTAATTGAGAGAAGATATATTTGAAACTGCTTTTTGTGTTACTACACAAATTAAAATAGTATAGAAAATTGTACTACATTGGGAAACTTTTGTGTAATTGGTAGAAGTGATATTTGACACTGCTTTTTGTGTTACTTGTTTAAGAGGGAAAATTGACTATGTCAATGGGAAATAAGATGAAAAAACTTCTCTAACCTTGTCAAATATTATTATTACAACTCGAATTTGCCAGGGATATTAGTTATTATCTTTTATTTTATAAGTATTTTCTTAAGCAAAAAGTAGTCGCACTAATCAAAGCAAATATTAATTTAGATAGTTACGAAAGTAACGACTGTTATATAAAAATGAAAATTTCAACTGTATAGTTCAATATCGTGATACAGGAATAAAATAAATGTCGGGCATTGACTTACTTTTCTTCGAGAATAAAACAAACCTTGATTTAAGTCAGTCTTGTGCATTAAGGTACACAAATGGCGATTTAAGCGTACGATTCGCTGACGTAATCGAAGAAATAGTCAAAGCTACATGTCGGATTCGAGGCGGAAATGTATGGGTGTTCGCTGAGAGCTGCGACTTTATATTGCTCGCTAAATGACAGCAAAATGCCATGGATCTTTGCAATGATCTCTTCTACTCAGGCATTCGATTCCTGCAAAATTTTAAGTGTAAGATTAGTACGTTAAACTAATGTCCATTGAGATTTTAAGGTAAAAGACTTTCATTTTATTTGAAGCATAACTTTCTTACCGTGTAAAATAATTTAAAAGAAAACAAAAATAAAATAAAATAAACAAAATTAAGTTAAAATAAAACAAATAATATAAAATAATATAAAAAAAATAAAATAAAATAAATTAAATTAAAAACCATGTCTCCGTGCGTAGACGATACAAAAGCTATGCTTCGTCTCCACAAAATACATGGAGGTATGCAAAATCTTTATACATAAATTCAAAATAGTATAATGTAACATATATACCTCCACAAAGAGGAACTTACCTTCAGATTCTCAAAATATTGCATAATCTGATCGTAATCCATATCAAGCTGTAAATCATCTAAGCCTGGAAGCTCCATGGATTTACTGGTTTCATTGTCATTTTTATCTGCATTAAACATTGGATTACCAACTATAGTGGCTGTTTTTACCTCTGCACTGTTCCTATTACCTAAAAACAATCTTTTAAGGTAATTAACTGTCAAGAAAAGAACATAGTTTGAGATTTTTTTTGTTTAAGTCTCGTAATCTTGAATTTGACATCAAACTTTGAAAATTTTTATTCGAGAAATTAAACTTAACTCTAAAGGAAACTGGAAAATATATTCAACCATTTTGCAAGGTACTTAACCAAGTCTACCTTATAATTTCAAATGGGACCCGATACGATTAATGGGCCATTATTTCTAGAAGAAATCATTGTCACAATTTAGATGGTTTTATAAATATGATGTAAATATTACAGACCAAAAAAACATGTGCTTAGTTATTCAAACTTCGGGCTACCAATTTCAGTTTTTAGATAGCAGTCGATCACATTAGATAATTCACTCATTTTTTTCGACTGGTATGAATTAAATTTATATATTTCTTTTTTGCCAGTTAAGACCACATCTATGGTAACATCAGATTTTGTTTCCAGTTAAGCCAAATTCCACGACAACATTGCGAGAATTGATGCCCCGTACGTAAATACAAAAATATCATAGGTAACAGAAGTCCAACGCAACAGAAGTGATCCACCAAGATATTATGGATTCAAACACTAACCGATTTTGTTCTAGGAAACCGAAAACAAAAACACAAAAAACAAGTGTAGAATAGGCAATAACATACGTTGCCCATAAGTCACCTGGATTTGAATTACCACAGAGAACATGACCCACCCTAGATAAGATCCAAACATCATTATAGATGTGCGTACTCCTTGCATAAAATGGGGTAAGCAGCCATCCCGCGAAAACAACCTGACTATTGACCGAATTGGTAAAGGGTGTCCCACAAGATTCTATAACTGTAAGCCTGACAACTTCCTGTTGTAACGATATGCATCGCCTCGGTCCTGTCAGCGCTCCATACACACGTACTCCCACCACAAGTTCCTCTTCCATCGATGTGTGCTAGAGGAGATCTAAGGCCTAGAACCGTATAAAACAACAGCTGTCATTTTTTTCAAGATTTCAAAAATTTTCTTTTACTTTAACCAAAGTTTTTCAAAAATAAGCACTTTGAACGGTTCAAACTTTCAGATCATATAAACAATACATCTATCTAATTAGTCTTCTTCGGTCCATCTTTGGACATAGGCCTCCCCAATCATTTTCCATTCTTCTCTGTCTGTCGCTACAGTCATCCATCTAGAGCCCACGTGCTTCTTGATATCATCTGCCCATCTCATTTGGGGCCTTCCTCTGCTTCGTTTATATTCCCACGGTCTCCAACTTATAAGAATTTTGTTCCATCGGTCTTCTTTTTGTCTTATATTGTGTCCGGCAAATCTCCATTTCAATTTTGCAACTTCTTGTCTAACATTCCTCACTTTTGTTTTCTCTCTTATCCACTCGTTTCTCTTCTTATCCATTAGTCTTATGTGCAACATTTGCCTTTCCATTGGGTTTTTATGATTTTGTCCATGTTTGCTTTTGTAGATGTCCACGTTTGGGAACCATAAGTAAGAACAGGGAGTAAGCATTGATTATATACTTTGGTCTTAAGATGCTGTGGATATCTTTTGTTTTTAAGAATGTAGCTTAGTTTGCCAAATGCCGCCCATGCCAGTCTAACTCGTCTCTTGATCTCTGCTGTTTGGTTCTCTTTGTTAAGTTTTATAGTTTGACCAAGATATAAATAATCCTTAACTTGTTCTATTTCATCTTGTCCGATTCTCATTGTGATGTCTTCATCTGTATTTGTTATAGGTTTGGTCTTGCTGTAACTCATATTAAGGCCTATCTTTCCAGCTTCTAAGTCCAGTTCTTTCATCATTTCAAATAATTCTTCTTTTTTATCGGTTCTCAATACGATGTCATCAGCGTACCTTAGATGGTTCAAGCGTTGTCCACAAATTTTTATACTTTTTTTTTCCATTCTAATCTTTTAAAAGTATCTTCAACAGCCTGATTGAAAAGTTTCGGTGATATTGTATCACCCTGTCTCACGCCTCTACTTATTTTTAATGATTTTGTTCCTTCATATACTTTAATTGTTGTTTTGGCTTCCTTATATATAGTGGTTATTAGTTCCGTATATCTGTGGTCAATTCGGCTGTTAATCAAAGAACTTTTCACTGCCCAATGTTCGACACTGTCGAAAGCCTTTTCGAAATCTAGTAAACAATACATAAATAAAGTAAATTGTAAAGCGTTAATGATTAGTTTTATTTGTGGTGCTGATTAGGGGGTGATTTTCACGATGCTTTTACCAAAAACAAAGGGAGCAACTTTATTCTGAGCCTAACTCGCTTAGTTTTGAGGCTCGAAACTAAAAAAAAAAAAAAACAAAGAGAAAGCTTCTTTTAAACACTTTCAAAAAGTTTTGATAAGTTTTTCCCAAAAAGTGTAAAAGCCATTAACTCAAAACGTATTGACTTACTTAACTCCGTAGAACAAAAGTTGCTTAGAATTAGTAAATTTATTTATTTCCGGACTTAATTTGAACGTATGTTTTATCACCACCGAGAAGGGTGGTTTTCACCCTCAAGTAATAGCAACTCTCAGCTAAGTCCAAAAGTGGGTAAGAGGAACCTAAATCCAAATTATTAAGCAAATCCTTCGTGACCAGGAAAATTACACTCCAAAAACGGTTATTTACTGGAGTATTGAATTTTTGAATATTTAGTTATTGTTCATGGAATGGAATGTTGTGATGCCGTTGGAATTCATAAAAGAATACGGGAAACATCATGTGCTTTTTGGCGAATACCGCACACTGATTACAAAACTATACAATTGAAGTTTATCTTGTGAATGCTGGTATTAACAGAACGAGACACGTCACAATTAATGTGTCAATTGCCTTTTGATGCATGAAAATAGGCAATATCTAAACATGCCATACTCCAAAGGAAAAGATTTTCACACAACAGTTGAAATAGTATTGAATGTATGTGCGTACAAAATATTCACTGAACATCACAAAGGATTAGCGGGTTTTTTCAGAGCTACGACGAAAACGATGTGGTAGTTTCTCCTATTATGGATATAATTAAATTTCATTATTTTTAAATATTACGACAAGTGTTTTTTTTTCAATTTTCCAACTTGGGGTTTTTCTCAAATACAAAAAAAATATACTTCACCAAAAAAGTATCGCACCACTTATAAAATAACAAATATTTCTAACAGCATTTGGTTAATTTAAATTATTCCTTTCTGGCCCTTTAGAATATTAAGGCTAGAATAAATATTAAAAAGAAATTTGCAAATACAGCTTACTGTTTAAGATAAAAAATATTTAATGGCTATTTTGTCAGGTTTTTATATTATCAGTCTTTATTTTACTTTTGTAAAAAGTATACAGTTGGCATTTAATTTAAAATTTCGTATTAAATATTGAGTATGGAAGCACATGACATAAATTTAAATTTAACAAGAGATCAAGTGGTTAGAATAATTACCCTCATTGAAGACGGAAGGAGTCAGAGATATGTGGCAAATTTAGTGGGTGTAGATCAGTCGACAGTATCACGAGTGGTAGTAAGGTACCGAGAGATTGGTCTTTATGAAAGACGAGCTGTAACAGGTCGGCCAAGAGCCTCTACGCATGTGGACAAAAGATTTTTAGTCCTTCAGGCTTTGCGTCGAAGACATGTGACTGCAAGTTAACTTCAATATGACTTAACCGGGACTCGAAACGTACATGTGTCTTCAGAAACTGTTAGGCACATCTTAAGACAGTCTGGGCCAGAGTAGCTGCCACTGCCCCGAGACTTAAAAATGAACACCATAGAGTACGTCTAACATTTGCAAGAGAGCACGTTAACTGGAATATTGACGACTGGGGTAACATACTTTTTACGGATTAGTCAAGATTTTGTTTATACTTACACTTCGGTTCGAAGAATACCAGTTTATAGACGAGATGGCGAGCGTTATTTTCAATGCAACCTAAGACCGGCGACAAACTTTGGAGGAGGATCTATTATGCTCTGGGGCGGAATGTCTAACGTCTTCGGGGTCTAACCGAATTGGTACAGCTAGATGGACGATCCTTAACTACTGATAGGTACATTACAGAAATTTTGGAGATGCATGTTATTTCTTATGCCCATTTGTTGGTAATGACTTTGTTTTAGTGCACAACAATGCACGCCCACACGTTGCAAGAATGGTTACCGAGTACCTTCAAGAGGTAAGTTTACAAGTTTTGAATTGGACAGCGCACAGCCCGGACTTAAATCCAATAGAACATGATTGGGACCATCTTTACAGAAGGGTGAGATCTGGTAATGTGACGCCAGCTAATCTTCTGGATCTGCAATGATTGTTAACCGTAGATTGGGATATCGATCAAGATTATCTAAGACCATTAATTGGAAGTATGCCACAAGGTTGTCTAGATGTTATAAGAGCTAGAGGAGGCAATACGTCTTACTAAATTATCATTACTTTTGATTTTTATTTTTTTTTACTCAATGCTGTTTGTGCGCTTACTTTTAATTTATGAAATAAATTAAATAAAACCTTTGTTTTTAGTACATTCTTGCATTTTTCTTCTAATACTTGTTACGTACTTAAAAAACAAAAAAAAAACAACAGTAAAAATTCCATGTTTTAAATTATTTTTAATACAAAATTTGCAGTTTCATATGTGATGCGACACTTTTTGGAGAAGTGTATTTCAATTAAAAAATTTATGTACACAAATACATATAACGTTACTTACTTGGACTATTTGAATACTGTACAAATTCCACATTATCATCCTTTCTAGTTTGTGCTTTAGGTTCGTCATCAAATTCGAACATATCTTTCTCTGTACAATTTTCGACTTTCTTCTTTGGAACCGCAGCCTGAGATTTTAAAGGAATAAGCTCGTTCGATAGCCTAAAATATTCAAATTTAATGAAGCACTGTTTACATAACACTGCTTATTTTTTACTATGAATAACAAAGAAGCCAGCAAAGTTAGAAGAGGAAAACGTCGTTAAGGGAGACGATCCTTTCTCAAAGGACTTGATTAGTCTGGTATTGGAATAGTAACGAGCCAGAGCAATATTCATTAGAGCACAAATTTGATTAAAGAAGTGACTCCAGAGAAATAATAACTCGAGAATAGACAGCAAAAATCGCGTTGAGATTAGGTAAATTTCAAGGTAAACTTGAAATAATGGAAAAAACGGAATAAACTAATTGAAAAAAGTACATACAATACTACCCGACCTGGGAAAAGTGGCCACTGATAACGGAAAGTTGAATCAAGAAAACAGCGATGCAACACAAAATTAAAGATTAAACAGAACAATTGAAATGCTAGACAAAACATTAGAAGGAACCACCTAATAACGCACAATATAAGAAGAACAAGGAAACGAACAATGAAAAAATCAAAATCCAAATAATATTGCAAAACTTGCGAATTCAAATAAAAAAGGGGACGAAATAATATAAAATACTGAAAAGAAAAGAAGAAGAAAAGAAAGATGAAAAAAAATTAAAACAGATATATTGATGAACATATATTGAAAACAGATGCACGAGAATGCTCTGACAGGATTTACACATCATAAAAGAACCAAAATATACATAAGTGAAGACGTTCCAAAGCAAGTAATCTTTGAAAGAAAGCAACTCGTCGAACATATGAAAATAGCAAGACAAAGAAAGATACTGGTATACACTGTGGATAGATGGAGAAAGGTAATGGATCGAGCAACTGTAAAACACTTGTATAAAAGAACTCACGAAAGAACCGCGTAAAATAAAACAATAAAATGGAGAACACAGTAAATCACAGGAAAACACAGATATAGCTAAATTATTCAGTGAGAGATATTCCATACAAAGCCAAAGTATATAAGGGAAACTAATGAAAATAATAAGGACAACCAATACTTGGGTTACAAGATGCAAAGGCTGGAAAATAGGATGGATGGTATCTATTTTAAAAAAAGACTACTCAAGAAAATGCAACAACTACAGGGGAATAAGATTGTTAAACAGCTGTTACAAAAATATGTACTTCACTAACCAAACAACAAATCGCAAAAAACCATTGATACTAAAATAGCAGGGATTTAGAGCGGGAAAGTCAACAATAGACGCTGTATACATAAACATAAGATATATAGTCAATTCAGAAATTTTATGGTCTAATAAGAGCCAACATAATAGAAGACATGAAAAATCTCGATGAAACACCAGCAAGCATAGAATATATTCCTTCTCCAAAAATATAAAAACAGCAACTGGAACAAGTCAGGGCGACTCGCTATCAACCTCCTTACTTAATATCGCAAAAGAGGAAACAAAAAGAGATGGCGAAACATAAGGTACAATTATAACATCGATGTTTCAATTTGTGGCCTATGCTTATGACAGGGCGCTGCTTAACAGAAATTTAAACATTAAAAGAGTAATTGTTGAAGTCGTGCAAGAGCCCCAAAAGAAGCTTAGCAATAAAGCAAAATAAAACAAAGTACATAATATGCTCAAATAAATCAATAAAGTTAATACAATTACGAGACCAGATAAATATTGAAAATTATGTACTTATTCGAAAAGTTACAAACTTTAAAATAACAGAACAATAATCGTATTTTCAGCAGTACCATAAATTATTTTTGTATTTATATGTTAAAAATCTTTCCTTACCTATGGTAGTGTGATTTTTCTTGGTTCTTGTTCCTATGGTGGTGATGATGATGTGGTTTTTTCGGTAGAGGAGAATCGGACGAGGTTGTTGAAACACCCAAATTTCGATGAGGCGGCACAGGTGGTTTGTAGTCATCATTCTGGGCATTGTTCTGAGAGTGGTGAGAATGTGATGGTAAAGGAGGTGGTGGAGTCGGTTTATTCCTAAACAATTATATATTAATAATTTAGTTCGTTATTTGACAAAGTACAACTATAAATTATCCAGTTTCATAGTTCAGTATACAGTTCAAAGCTACTAATCGTTCAAGAGTTCTTAAAAGTACTAAATAATAATAATAATAATAATAATAATAATAATAATAATAATAATAATAATACCCGATATGGGCGATACCCAACACCAATAATTTAGTTGTTAAATACAACGAAAAGATCGCCAAGTACAGAGATCTAGAAATACAAATCAGGAGACAATGGAGAATGGAAAGTACCCAGACACTACCTATTGTTCTATCTACTACTGGTGTTATTCCCAAAAACCTCCTAGCGAACATAAAACAACTAGGTCTAAATGAACATCTTTATAAGGCCATGCAGAAAGCTGTACTCCTCGCGACGTCCAGATGTGTACGAAAATTTTTGGGAGATACTCCAACATACCAAGTCACCTAGGACTCGATAACATGGAAAGAGTCCCACCAGAGCTCAATCCTTTTGATACCGTAGGTATCTGGGATGAGTGAATTTTCCCCTTAGAGGGAGTGTGAGCCGTATGGCTAAATCTGGATAATAATAATTTCCATGTCGTTTCCATAATAATAATAATAATAATAATAAGGAACGGCATGACTCAGTAGGGAAGATCCTTCATCAAGAGATAGCTATTAAACTGGGACTTCTACAAACAAACCATCTCCCATATTATCAATACGTTCCAGAAAGTATGCTTGAGAATGACAACTACAAGCTATACTGGGATCGCACTGTGCTCACAGACCAAACTGTTGCACATAATAGACCAGATCTCGTGCTAGTTAATAAACTAACAAGACAAACAACTTTAATCGATGTGGCGATACCTAACAACAATAATCTGCGTGTTAAGTACAACGAAAAGATCGCCAAGTACAGAGATCTGGAAATACAAATAAGAAGACAATGGAGAATGGAAAGTACCCAGACGATACCTATTATTCTTTCTACCACTGGAGTCATTCCGAAGAACCTCCTAGAAAACATAAAAAAGCTGGGTCTAAATGAACATCTATATAAGGTCATGCAGAAATCTGTGCTACTTTCGACGTCCAGATGCGTGCGAAAATTTTTAGGAGATACACCGACGTACCAAGTCACCTAGGACTCGATAACATGGAAAGAGTCCCACCAGAGCTCAATCCTTTTGATACCGTAGGTATCTGGGATGAGTGAATTTTCCCCTTAGAGGGAGTGTGAGCCGTATGGCTAAATCTGGATAATAATAATAATATACAATATAATAACAATATACTATAATATAATATAATAATATAATATAATATAATATAATATAATAACAATATACTTTTTGAGAATTCAGAGAAGGCTTTCTATAGGAAACTAAATTCCACTGTAGAAAATGTAAATAAATCCTACCCAAGCCAAGAAGAAATTCATGAGTTTTGGGGAAATCAACTTTCGACGCCCGCTACCCATAACAACAATGCTGGATGGATTGAAGACACGGAGAACAATTGTCAACACTATAGGAATATTCCTTATGAACCATTCACCACTGAAGAAGTCTTGAACATCATCAAAGAGCTTCATAACTGGAAATCTCCTGGACCAGACGGAGTTCAAAACTTCTGGTTAAAGAAGTTTTGGAGTGTTCATGAGCTTTTAACGGTATTTATTAATAATATTATTTCTAATTTACAGGAAATACCATCATTTCTTACTCAGGGAACCACTTATCTAATACCGAAGGATCAAAATAACACCCAAGATCCAGCCAAGTACCGCCCAATTACTTGTCTTCCAACTTTGTACAAATTGGTCACATCCTGTGTGGCCCGGCGTATCTACCAACACTGTGCTCTGAACAATATCATAGAGCCCCAACAGAAAGGATGCGCTAAGGGCTCCATGGGATGCAAAGAACAACTTATTATCGACTCAGTCATTTCTAACCAGGCATACACCAAAAAACGAAACCTGTTTACTGCCTTCATTGACTACAAGAAGGCTTTTGACTCAGTGCCGCATGAATGGCTTATAGATATATTGAAAATATATAAAGTCGATGATAATCTAGTGACCTTTTTGAAGCATATAATGACAAAGTGGAAGACTAAAATTCGCCTTCAAATACCTGGTGAAACCAATATCGAAACTGAAGATATCGCTATTAACGGGGCCTTTTTCCAGGGGGACTCGTTGAGTCCACTTTGGTTCTGCCTAGCGATGAACCCACTATCTCAGCTGCTGAACTCCACTGACTCAGGATTTAGCATCAAAAATAACAACACTGTTGTGGCGAAGCTTAATCATCTGTTGTATATGGATGATTTGAAACTAATGGCTTCCACTCGAAATCACTTAGATCAGATGCTAAAAACTGTAGAAACTTTCTCAAATGATATCAGTATGCATTTTGGACTAGACAAGTGCCGTATACTAAATATAGTCAGAGGAAAGGTTCAGCCCGGAGGTTTCGATATGCAAGATGGCCAAAACATCGAGGCAATGGGTGAAAATGATATTTACAAATATCTCGGAGTAAAACAGGCGCGGAAAATTGACCATAAACAGATGAAAACTGAACTAACTTCGGAGTTCGTGAAAAGAATAAGACAACTAAATCGGTCATATCTTAATAGTAAAAATTTGTTTAAGGCATTAAATACGTACGCCTGTTCCGCGCTGAGCTACTCATTTGGTATTATAAAGTGGTCAAAAACGGATATAGAGGGTCTTCAGCGGAAAGTAAGAACACTTCTCACAAAGGCGCAAAAACATCATCCACGCAGTGCAGTAGAGAGAACAACATTACCGCGGTATCAAGGAGGAAGAGGACTTATGGATATAGGTGAGCAATTAGATAAACAAATTGCTAATTTAAGATCTTATTTTCAGGTACAGGCTGAGACATCTACTTTACATCGAGCAATTTGCGCAGTAGATGACACAACGCCGCTTAAACTGAGGGAACAAGAAATGCGCACGAGCCATCTGACTAAGCAAGAAAAAATGCGCACCTGGATGAGTAAACCTCTGCATGGGCGACATCTCAATGAGATCAACCAAGAATATGTCGACAATACAGCGTCGAACTATTGGTTGACATCAAGATGTTTCCCGAGACTGAAGGTTTCCTACTTGCCATTCAGGATCAGGTTATTCCAACTAAAAATTACCTGAAATATATTGTTAAAGATCCTCAAGTCCAAAATGACAAATGCCGATATGGATGCCAAGCCCAAGAAACCATCCAACATCTTACCGGTGGCTGCCAGGCATTTGTCGGTACTGATTATAAAGAACGTCATGACTCAGTAGGAAAGATTATCCACCAAGAACTAGCTGACAAACTGGGACTTTTCCAAACCGACCATCTTCCTTATTATCAATATGTCCCTGACAGAATGCTTGAAAATGACAACTACAAGCTATACTGGGACCGCACTGTGCTCACAGACCAACCAGTGGCCCATAATAGACCAGATCTCATACCAGTGAATAAAATTACCAGGCAAACAACACTTATTGATGTGGCGATACCTAACACTAACAATTTGCTTGTTAAATACAACGAAAAGATCGCCAAGTATAGAGATCTGGAAATACAAATCAAGAGACAATGGAGAATGGAAAGTACCCAGACAGTACCTATTGTTCTATCTACTACTGGTGTTATTCCCAAAAACCTCCTAGCGAACATAAAACAGCTGGGTCTAAATGAACATCTTTATAAGGCCATGCAAAAAGCTGTACTCCTCGCGACCTCCAGATGTGTACGAAAATTTCTGGGAGATACTCCGACATACCAAGTCACCTAGGGCTCGATAACACGGAAAGAGTCCCACCAGAGCTCAATCCTTTTGATACCGTAGGTATCTGGGATGAGTGAATTTTCCCCTTAGAGGGAGTGTGAGCCGTATGGCTAAATCTGGGATAATAATAATAATAATAATAAGTCACCTAGGGCTCGATAACACGGAAAGAGTCCCACCAGAGCTCAATCCTTTTGATACCGTAGGTATCTGGGATGAGTGAATTTTCCTCTTAGAGGGAGTGTGAGCCGTATGGCTAAATCTGGGATAATAATAATAATAATAAAGGCCTTTATTCATCACATAATATTATTTACATAAATTAATATTCAAAAAGCTCCAGGCGAGTTTCAGTTCAGGAAATGTACAGTGCGAAGCACTGACACATCCTGTCTGTTCAGCTAACCTGGGCAAACAAATAATAAGAAATATCCAGAATTGTAACCAATTAATAGTACTAATATTTATATAAAAACGAAATCAAAATCATAATGTAAATTAAATAAATTTTAGTTAACTAAATGTAGGAAAATATAAAAATAATTAATCTAGCATTCAATTAATATGCGCCCTAAATGTAAGTTCTACTCATAATTATTTATATTATCAAACCTTACCTATGGAGTATGTCGTAATTTCTTAAAAACGAACTTTTTAAATTTGTTTTGAGTAAAATTAAGAGCAGTGGTATAATTATTTATAACTTGAGCTATATGATATGAAAAAGATCGCTTATAGTTCTGTGTACGATGATAAGGAATAGAAATGGTGTTTTTATGTCTGATGTTAATATTATGTACATCAGTACGGAATTTTATTTTATTATAGAGGTATGGTGGGGTTTTATAAATAATAATTTTTTGGAATTGACAAGCTGAATGAAAATGTCGTCTGAGTTTCATACTTAACCAACCTGTTTCTTTAAGTTTGTAACTTATTGGTTGATTTCTGCGGATACCATGTATCAAACGAAGGCAAGAATTTTGCATTTTTTGTATTCGATAACTATCACGTTCTGTAATACAAGAATTATAAATAGAATCGCAATAGTTAAAATGTGATAACACCAAGGTATCACACAGCAATTTTTTTAAGTCTTTGGTAAATATATGACGGGATTGAAATATAAATTTCAAATTTATATAACTTTTCTGCAAGCACTTGTTCACA